ATTATTTTTGAGAGCAAAATCTAAAAATAGTATTGGTTTGATTATGTCGAGTTTATTAAATATTTTTTTCTTAGTTGGGTTTAATTCTATTTCTCAAACAGAAAACTTTTATTTAGCTATGTTTTATTTTTCTGTGATGATTATAAACGGAATTTATTTAATTATTTCTTCAGGGAGAGTCGTAGCTAGAAGACGAAAAAAGAATAGCCTTTAAACGCAAAATTTTGCGTTCTAAGCTGTTTTAAATGTATCTGCGTATATTTTTATGTGTTTTATCTTTTCGTCGGCAAATGCGTCAAAATTTGCGAAATAAAATAATGCAAGGGCGAACGTAAGTGAGTGTATTTACCCTTGCATTATTTTTTGAGTAAATTAGCTTTGCTGAACGACGAAAAGGAAACACAAAACTTTTCAGAGGCAAGGGGTTTTTAAGGGGCGCTTTTAGCCCCTTAGATTTGTTTGCTTTAAAATATATTTAGTTCTAAAATAGATTTAACGAAAAAAAGACATAAAAAAAGACGAGCAACGCTACCAACGTTCTCGTCCGGAATAACAAATCGCACTTGTTATTCATTCGAAACTTAGTATATCAATTTTTTCTCTTGAATACAAAATAAAAAAGGACGAATGGATAAGACAAAATTTTTTGTAATTCCATTTGTCCTTTTTTTCGTTCCAAAAATTTTAAGGAGCGAGATAAAATGACTGATAAAAATAACGAGATTGTGAAAAAGATTGAGAAAAATGGTAACCGAGTATCTAATAGCCGGTTATCGTCACATGCCTGTGTGCATTTTGAAATTTCATTTGACCGAATTTCACTAGTTGGAGATTTAGTTGAGAGTGAAGAATTAGCATTTAGTAGCTTTATTTCAAACTCTATTTATTTTAATATTTTTGATTTACACGCTAGCCAAATTAAAGGCCAGTCTGTCGATAATGTTGTTTATTTTGAATATGACAAATTTAAAGGGAAAGCTCATGAGAGAAGAAATATGCGAGTAGAATTTAATCCCAACAATTTGGATCAAAATTTACGAAAAATTATTCGAGATGAATTTGTTTCTCGTATGAAAAATACTGGATTTAGTCGATTAGATTTAGCGTTTGATTGTTTTGAAAATATCAAAGATTATTATGTTTTATCTGATGCTGCACTTAAGAAAACGATAATTTACGGACGTAATGGAGAGCCTGAAACCAAATATTTTGGCTCTCGTGATAGCGATAGATATATTCGAATTTACAACAAGAAACAAGAAATTAAAGATAATAAAGATTTAGAAATTGAAGCGGAAGATTATTGGCGTATTGAGTTTGAATTAAAGCGTGAGCGTACAGAAAAATGGGCGACATGTTTTGAAGATTTGAATTTTTTGAAACCTGATTATAAAACGATTGATGATTTTAATTTGCGTTCAAAAGTTTTTTATTTGCTGAATGATGAAAGTGCTTGGGGAGAATTACATAGAAATACTAAAACTAAATATCGAAAAATTTTGAAAGAGATTTCGCCAGTAAATTTAAAAAATAGTATGCAAGAAGATTTAAATATTCAGCGAGAAAAATTACAAAAAGAATTAAATTTTTGGTCAGCATGAGCGAAGCGAATTCTTAAATTTCGTCAGAAATTTTTACATCAAAAAGCCCCCTGTCAAAATTGACGAAGGGGGCTTTTTCGCACGGTTTTTCGAAGAAAATAACACGACTTGAAAAGTGGTGTATAAGTGCGCCCTTTGTTTTGAACTTAGCACGTACATCAATTTTTTAAAATGATGTGTAAGTGCGCCCTTTTGTTTTTAATCAGGGATTGGGATTTTCCCAAAAGAGTTAATTTTAGATTTTGTCATGACAATGACTGTGCTTGCTGTTACTTTAATTTTATATTTAAGTTATTGAATTTGTTATAATTTTTTTGGAAAAGGGGTGATTATTTTTGAGAGCAAAATCTAAAAATAGTATTGGTTTGATTATGTCGAGTTTATTAAATATTTTTTTCTTAGTTGGGTTTAATTCTATTTCTC